ATACGCCAGTCTGCAGTGAATTCCTCGCCGATAAACTGGAGAGCAGCAGGAAAGGGCGAGACTTAACGTCATTGCAGACCCGGTCCTGATTGGTCAATTGATGGAGTCTACCCAGCGCTGCCTGCCGTTCCCTCCCGCGGGAGAGAACGGGCGTATCAGGTAGGACCAACGCCCATTTTAAGATATTGCTGGCCTATGACTTCAGAAGTATTAGCATACCTGAACTGTTGAAAGAGCTGCTGGAGTTTATAAATCAGCATATCTAAAGAGCTGTAAACTTCCATATTCCTATAAAAGATTTTATTAAAGCAAACTCTTCTTAAATATATCTTCTATCAATCCATAGTTATTTTACAGTTTTAATTAATACATAGAACTTCTAAAATGTCATGTAATCAAATATAAATTCTATATAGATAATCCTTGATTTACAATAGTTCCTTTAGTGATCATTTGAAGCTATGACGGCACTAAAAATAGTGACATGACCATTTTTCACATGATCGTTGCAGCATCCCCATGGTTATGCAATTAAAATTCAGACGCTTGGCAACTGACTCAAATTTATGATGGTTACATTGTCCGGGGTCATGTAATCACCTTTTGCAACCTTCTGATAAGCAAAATCATTGGGGAAGTCAAATTAAGAATAGTATTAGTAATTTAACAACTACAGTGATTAACTTAACAATGTGACAAAGATTGTGAACTGGAGCAAAATTCATTTAACAACTGTCTTGCATAGCATTCGAAAATTTTGGGCTCAGTTGTGGTCATAAGTCGAGGACAAGCTGTACTTGCTATTCAGTTGCCACTAATATACAAATATAATTTGTAAAATTGAAGTTTTTTGTGAACTATAACAGCGTACTGTGAACTATAATAGTGAACTATAATAGTGTAAAGATGCGTCAACTGCCCAGTTTTCTCTTAATATCTATAAAATTATTGCGCCTGTTAAAATACTTAACATATTAAAATCCATGTATCTTTTGATAAAGGTATGAGTTCTTAATTGACGTAGTCATTAAAAGTTAATTTTAGAGCAAAGGGAGTCTTTATTACTGTATTTTTATATGTTTATATGTTAAGAAAACACACACACAACTCCTCTTAGATTATGTATTTTGAGCTAAAAATGAAATAATTACATCCTAAGAGATCAAGCTAAGTAACCAACAGTATTACAAGTATATTTTCCAACATTTAACTATAATGCTTATTGACTTTTAAAAAAATAAATATTTAAAAATAAATATGATTGTTGTGTATCATTGGTTACAAATATTTGAATTGATTAAAGGCTGAAAATTAGTTTCCCATATATGATATTTGCTAATTGCTATTCACTTTAAATACGGTATTTATATCTGTTTTATCCTTTTGTATCCTGTTTTATTTTATTTTCTAGTGCAATCATTTGTATCCATATTGTTGTCCTTCATCTCCTATCTGCAGTGTATACTTTGTCTCATTTGTACAACTAGTCCTCTCTTAGTGATTGCCCTCTTTAGTGAACATTCAAAGTTATGACAGTGCTGAAAAATTAACTTTATGATTGGTCCTTACACTTAAACCTTTGCAGGATCCCTGCAATCAAATGATTGAGATTCAGGCACTTCATCACTAGCAAGAGTTTACAACTCACAGCGTACTACAATCACATGATTGTCATCTATACACATTTGGCTTCTAACAAACAGAATAGAGAATTTGGCAGTAAAATTGCAAGTCTCAATCACATGATGTCTCAGTTAAAGCATGTGATTTGCTTAATGACTGTGGTGGAAGTGAGTTGATAACCCCATCAAGGATACATGAAGTTTTGTTTAAGAACTATATTACTTAACAATAGAATTGTGGATCCCAATTACCATAATTATGCAAGGACTACCTGTAATAACTTTTTGTCCAGGGACTATGCCCATTTTCCCCCCAAAATGCTTTGCTCTAGCACCATCTCTTTTATTCTAATTTGTTAAATAAAAAGTATTTTCATATGCATGTTTTGAGTGGGGCGGTAAAAAAGAGGAATAAGGTGATAATGCTCAAGCTAATAGCTGGTAACATTCAGACCTAGAATGATAATAAAGGACTAAACAAATAATGACAAATTAAAAGTTCCAAAACCTTCATTGGCAAAATATAGAAGAAGGAAATGTTGCCTTTTAATGAAATGGGCACTGTTAAAAAAAGGAACTTGGTGTGGACCAAACAAAACTGTTTTAAAAACTTATTACATAAATTGATTTTTCATTTGCTTCTGTGTTCAGAGTTCATGTTTTATGAATATAACAGGTAGCCTGTTCAAGCAAGACGTGTGTTGTATACTAAACACTTTATTATAATGATTCAAAGTTTAATATAAATAATTTATGAAATAAAGTAATAAAAATAAAATAAAAAATAATAAAAATAATAAATAATCATTTTCATGGTGAAGACCAATAGGGATGAAACTTAACACATTATTTTTGAGACTATCTTAAAGATGGATGTTTAGAAATATGTGTTAAAACTAAGCTTTCCTTGTAACAATACCTTTTGAAATTAAGTAGTCATAAATATGAAGAAGGTGTTTATTTCAAAATCTTTTATTTAATGTAATTTACAAAAAAAACCTTACCAACTAAAATACATTTCTAGGTTGGTGGTCTCGATATGTTGATAAATAAGAAGATACGAGATAGAGAAGTACTCTTGCACTAAGAAAGGTGTGTTGTATTAAAAACCAATTCATGTAGATTGAAAATGAGAGAGCATAATTCTCATTCATGTAATTGCTAGTAAATTGAGACTTTCCCCTATTTTTTGTATAGGGAAATATTTAATTTTAAAAATTTAAAAATACAGGTAGTCCTTGTTTAACTATGGTAATTGGGACTGGCAACTCTGTCACTAAGTGACATGGTCATAAAGTGTGACATCATATGACCCTGCTGACTTATAACATCAGTTGTGGTAGTTCCAGTTGCCATTGTTAGGTAAATTCCATGTGGTCACAGCATCCCACAGTCATGTTTATTGTTATTTGGCTTCCCATTGATGGAGGCTGAAGGTCACAAATGGCTATCATGCAACCATGGGATGCTGCAATGTAATTGCAAGACATCTATAATCACATGACAAAAGGGATGCTGTGACAACCACAACTATGAGGAACAGTTGTAAATCACATTTAGTACCATTGTAATTTCAGATGGTCGCTGACCAGGTGGTCATCGAATGAAGATTGCCTGAATTTTGCAGGGCCCTCATCAGTAACTATGTTGTTGTTAATGTAATATAATGTAATTGGAGAACTTGCCTCAATGTTAGACTAAACATTAATATTCTATCAAAAATAGAGCTTTGGGAAATTCAGTATTAGTATTAGGGAATTCATTATTGGTGATGCCATGTTATGTTGAACTGCATAAGTGAACTAGTAAAATACAAGTTTGCATTTAGCTGATACGGTAATTTTTGTATTTTAGTTTAGGGCCTGATAACTTCTGAATTAGAATTTGAAAGGCATGTTCAGAGGATTAGATATTTTAATTAGTTTCTTCTGTTGCACATTTTTCGACAAATAGATTATAAAAATATGGAAAAGGGGATTTTCTTATTTACTGAAAGTGTTGTATATTAAAGATATAAATAGTAGAAGGAGTTAATTATGAAGAAGGTCAATCTAAAAATGTTACTTTAAAAGATTCCTAACCAAATCAGTGTTGGGATCTGTCATACTGAAAATGAGAAAAAAGTTCAGTGTGGCCTATAACCACCTGAATTGTACAATTCTGAGTAATTTTGTTGAAGAGCAGCAAAGTAGAAGTGATATTGGTTGATAAGATTACTTAAAAGCTCTTCTGGGTTTTTATTTTAGCTAATAAATTGTATTTGAAGTATTTGTTTCCTGGTTTCCCTTAATTTGGGAAATTAGCCAATTTATTTCTGAACAATTTTTCTATAATATTTTCATGCTACCTACAAAGTCATATATAGTTTTGGGCAGGGGTGAAATGCTCCCGGTTCGGACCGACTTGGGCGAGTAGGTAGCGATGGCGGTGGGCAGTTCGGAGAACCGGTAGCAAGAATCCCTGCCCCCGCACCCATGCCCAGCTGAGCCACACGATCATTAGAGGCTTTTTTTCTTTTAAATGCCTCTGACGATCCAAGCTCTGACGATGCCAGCTGAGTTGCCTGCCGATCAGGCAACTCAGCTGGGATCGTCAAAGCCATTTAAAAGAAAAAAAGTTTTTTTCTTTTAAATGGCTCTGATGATCCCAACTCTGACAATCCCAGCTGAGTTGCCTGATCGTCAGAGGGTTTTTAAAAAACCCTCTGACGATCAGGCAACTCAGCTGGGATTGTCAGAGCCTTTTGAAAGCATTTTTTACATGGTTTTACATGTAAAAAATGGTTTTAAAAGTAAAAAAAAAATTGGCCACGCCCACCCAGTCACATTATCCCCCACCAAGCCACGCCCACAGAACCAGTAGTAACAAATTTTAGATTTCACCACTGGTTTTAGGCCTACATAGGACCACCTCTCTCTAACAGTTGTTGCCCTTTTCCCAAATGGGCAGGTGTTATGGTGGGAAGCATGAGGTTTTTTGGGGTTTTTTTGGCTGTAATTTATATGCCGCCCTTCTCCAGAGACTCAGGGTGGCTTACAATGCGTTAAGCAATACAAAGTATTCTTTGTAAATCTGCCTACTTTGAAATACTCTGATGCAAGGAGAGCCCTCACACTCAATGGACTTCTAGAAGCAAGTGAAAATATGACTGTTCTTAAGTCCTGGGGTATAATTATAACTAGCAAGTGTATATTCGGTAACTTGAACATTATTTTTAGCATTAATTTGAGATTGGACTACTATTTAAATTATATTGACTTAAATTTCATGTTATCTGGTAAGTTTTGTAAACTAGTATCTAGAATACCTAGAATCTGCCTAGTTTCAGAGGGTAGATACATCTTGAAAATAAATATATGTATTTTGCTCTATTCTTAGGTGAAAACTTCAGAATTTTATCGTTATTCCAGGCAGTTGCGGCATGAAGTGGAGCAGGCTATGAATTACTTCCATAGTGTGCATCAACAGCCTTTGATGGAAATGAAATCAAATCGCATTCGTTCTGCCAAACCCCAGACTGCAGTATTTAGAGGAATGATAGGACACAGCATGGTAAATAGCAAAATACTCCTTCTGCACAAGCCAAGGGTCTGGTGGGAGTTAGAAGGCCCACAAGTACCTTTGAGACCAGATTGCCTTGCTATTGTTAATAATTTTGTGTTCTTATTGGGTGGGGAAGAGTTGGGGCCAGATGGTGAATTTCATGCTTCCTCCAAGGTGTTCCGATATGATCCAAGGCAAAACTCTTGGTTGCGAATGGCAGATATGTCTGTGCCACGGTCAGAATTTGCTGTTGGTGTTATTGGAAGATATATCTATGCAGTAGCTGGAAGAACAAGAGATGAAACATTTTATTCAACCGAACGATATGATATTACAGAAGATAAGTGGGAATTTGTAGATCCTTATCCGGTCAATAAATACGGACATGAAGGAACTGTTCTTGGCAGCAAATTGTACATCACTGGTGGAATAACGTCGTCTTCTACATCCAAGCAGGTGTGTGTATTTGATCCCAGTAAAGAAGGAACTGTGGAGCAGCGAACAAGAAGGACTCAAGTGGTGACTAATTGTTGGGAAAACAAATGCAAAATGAATTATGCAAGATGTTTTCACAAAATGCTTTCCTATAATGGCAAGCTTTATGTTTTTGGAGGTGTCTGTGTAATCCTGAGAGCCTCGTTTGAATCTCAAGGCTGCCCTTCTACAGAGGTTTACGATCCAGATACTGATCAATGGACAATTTTGGCTTCTATGCCAATTGGTAGAAGTGGCCATGGTGTGGCTGTTCTGGACAAGCAGATAATGGTTCTTGGAGGCCTTTGTTACAATGGTCACTACAGTGATTCAATTCTTACTTTTGATCCTGAAGATAATAAATGGAAAGAAGATGAATATCCAAGAATGCCCTGCAAACTTGATGGTTTACAAGTTTGTAGCCTACATTTTCCCGAATATGTGCTAGAACATGTTAGACGTTGTAATTAAAAGACTCAAGAAGAAAGTATTCATGAGAAAAGCAGAGTAAAGTAGAGGGAAATAAAGCAAATATCATTGACTTGTGTTATATACATCTTAATAAAGAAAAAAGTGTACAGGAATGTATTTACAAAGTTTATATATAGGAATAACTGCAGTTTCATAATGATTAAATTTTTTTACATATTATATAGTTTGAGAGAAGGAAAAATAAAAGATGTTCTTCCATTTTATGTCTTGTAACACCATCTATTATCTCTGTAAACAAAACTTTGTGTTCAGAAAGTACTGGAACATACTGTTTTTGAAAGGTGGTTTAAAAGCAAATGTATTTTTTAAACAGGTGAAAATTTGGACACCCTTACTAGAACAGATTCTATTCTAATATAGCAGTGCAATGGGCCTTTTGTTTTAAGTACATTATTTGTTTTTTCACTTTTATTTCACTTTGTATTTTTACTTTTATGCCCCCTGAACAAATTTGACACATCATCTTTTGATATTGGTCACAATTTAAAATAGTTTTCTATTTTTATATGATTTTTCTTAATGTTATGCAATAGTTCCTATTAGTCTTGCTGAAAAATAAGTTTCTAAAAGTAATTTAAGTTTTTTAATGAAAATTCTAGACTGCCTTTGTTTTAATTGTTTGTGAATAAAATTTATGTATAAAGGAGGGTCAAGATAAAATGCGTATTTTTATGTGCAGCTAAAAATCTATTTTTACTAGTGCACAGATATCAGCCATATCTGTAGAATTTTAGCTTTGATGGTATCCTTTCATATATACATTCATTGGATAATCGAAAGCTTCATTCTCATTAATGTATATGCTGACTGATGGAATAATATTTGAACTCTTTTTAATGCAAATAAGGAAGAAAGTGAAGAAAGTGTATTTTTGAAAGATTTCCCAAAATCTTCTTAGTGCTTTGCCCTGAAATACCTAACATAAATGTGTATAATAAGCATAAAATCTGCTCTTTATGAGCAGATAATTTTCTCCAGATATTATCAGCTATTGGCAAAACCATTAAGGAAATGGTTTTTCTGATTAAGCTGTTGTATTTAAAAATAGAGATTTGACTAACTCAGCATTATTTCAGCAAACTTGAAAATATTACTGGCTTCGCTATCTGAATAGGATGGCTGGCAGCAGAGGGATCCTGTATCCCTTGAAATTTTGTTGAACTACAACACCCAACCTCAGTCAGCAAGGCCAGTTGTAGTTGGCAAAATTTGGAGTTCCCACCTCTGGACAATAAGATGATGTTAAAAGCACTCTCTAAATATGTGGACACATGTCTGAAAATGTGTGATATCCCTCAATCTGAATAGAATTTTGGATTGACATTGAACTTTCATTATCTCTTTAAAGTAATTTGGAAATGTGAAAAATAATAGCTGACAATTTGAAACTTGCTGACTCTAGGCAGACTGCTGAAATGGTTTCATGAGATTCAATGCTCATGTAAACCATAAAGATATAAACTGCACAATTTTATTTTAGCATTTTGGGAACCTCTACATAACAACATGCTATATTCTTGGAGTTTAACATTATGCATGTGCTAAGTTCCCAATTTTTGCTGTGTTAAACAGCAACATACTTGACTGAAGCAAATGATATATAGTATCATTATATTATATAATTGTGTTCTTTCCAAGCTTTTTTCTCTGAAAGATAAATTAATGGGGCAATATTACTTAGTAATGATCTCAAAGATAACAAGTATAAATTACCCCTGTAATAATATCCTATATTTACTGAGGTCATGTTATTAAAAATGGTAGGCCAAATTTTCTCATTAGTTTCTTGCACACAGACAAATATGAAATGTTCATAAATTGCATATGTTTCTGAAAAAAGCATCGTACCAGCACAAATTCAAATGCATGTTAAACCAAAAGTGATCCTCTTACGTTTACTACTTTTAATGTAGACATTGGACAGTTACTAACCTTATTAAGATGCAACCAAAGCTTAATTCTGTAACTAGTAACATAATAACAGAATTTATGTGCTAGGGAAAATGTAGCACAAAAATTTTGTTCTGTTTTAAAATAAACCACCCTGCTTGGATTCAGTTTTGAAGGTATATCAGTTGGTATATACCGCCAATAGTTCCTGAATGAATAAAAAAATTCTGATTTTTTATTCATAAAATAAAAGCAGCATACTAATGTTTATATATACACATTCATCCATTATTTCTCCTATTTTGCTATAGACCTATTCATTTTTATATTAGTATATGGAATATAGTATATAAAGAGGGGGAAATTGTAAATGAGCTTAATCCACAGCATGCTTCAAAATGTGATGTATAACTTCTCACATCCCATTTTAAAAACTTATGTTGCCAGAGGAACATAATCTAAGTCTCTCAAAATAAGTATAGAGTTTTTCAGTAACTTGAATTTTTGCTCACCATAAAATTTACTTCTATTTTTTTAGTCTATTCTTTAGACTAAAATTAAATAATTCTAGAAGTGTTTGTAATAGCAGGATAAGATCAGATAAAAATGAAAGTGAATTTTTTTCCAAGTATGCTAAAGAGCCACTTTTGTATAATGTTAATTATTATATTAACAGAGAATAGCAGAGAAGCTTAGACACTTACTGTTGCTGCTTCATTATGATTGTTATGAGACCAAAGACTTCTGGCTGTAAGAGAATGAGAGTTTTTGTTTACATCTAACTTGGGGGAAATCATTGTGTTAGGCTTAAGCAATGGCTTACCTGCCTGGCTTTTAAGTAATATTTGAATACTGATAGCTCTAACCTCTTGTAAAGTTAATTTGATTCTCGGTTTTCCAGGTCATGGTTGTCCCAAAGGTGCTTTTTTTCAAGACTTGTCCAGTTGCCTCTTGAAAAAAAAAAAGCACCTTTGGAAGAATTTGACAGTCCCTTTGCAGTTATATTTCAGAGTTTCTAAGGCCACGGGTCTTCATTACTAATATATAAAATGTTTTTTTAATAAAATGTATCAATATGTGTCTATCCATGCAGAGTTGATAAAGGCATTTTTACTCTAGAAATGCTTTTAAAACAGAATCCTCCATAGCCAAGTTTATATGCTATGTGGCCTGATCAATACCTAAATCATCCTGGGTATCATATAGAAGAAGAGTTTTAAAAAATAATTTACCACTGAGACAATAGTAAAATTATGAAATATATTAATAGATATAGCAATAGTACTTAGACTTATATACCACTTCACAGTGCTTTACAGCCATCCTTAAGCGGTTTACAGAGTCAGCATATTGCCCCCAACAATGTGGGTCCTCATTTTACCGACCTCAGAAGGATGGAAGGCTGAGTCAACATTGAGCCTGGTAGAGATTTGAACTGCCAAATTGCAGGCAGCCAGCAGAAGTAGCCTGCAGTACTGCATTCTAACCACTGCAGCTCTGCTTTCTCAATTATAGTAAGTTATCTGAAAAGGCACATTAAATGTAATGGAACTATGGTGCTTGTGCTTTTTATTTAATTTCTCATCCATTGTAATACTTAATGGAAAGTTAGCTTAAATGAGTTACTGAACCGATACTTAAAGTTAGCCTATTTAGGATGTCAACCTCAAGTTTTTCAATCTTGCTGTTGCATAAAAATACAATTTATCTAAATGTGAATGTTGATTTTGTTTTTTTGATTAAAAGGCAAATATTCTTCAGCTTACAAATGTCAGATGATTTCTAACCTATTATGTATCTTCCGGTGGTTCACGATAATCTAGATAATCTTCTAAATTGTACTTTATTGAAATTCCTATGCATATGAAGGTAACTTAAGGTTACAAGAGAAAATAATGTAACAATGTAGCAAGTATAGCAAATTATTCATTCTTTTGGTATTGAGAATTGTAGTTCTTTGGTATTTCTCCATTCATGTCTGTCACAACTATAATTTAAATGTATTTAAAATATAGCTACTCAACTTACACTGAACTTTGGACACTTCCCAAATTGATTCTACACTCTCCTAAAAAGCTCACTATTTAGTTTAAACCATTTCATCTCATTGTTAAATTAAAATGCCAGCTTTAGTGCCAAAATGGAAGAGGAAGGAAACATGAACATTTTTAGAGGATTTAGACATAATGCACTAGACCAGTGATGGCTAACCTTTTTGCCATTGTGTGCCAGGAGTGGGGGAGAGGGTGGAAGGCGGGGGATCGCACGCACGTGTGCCCACACCATAATTCTATGTGACCCACATGTGTAACCCTCCCGCTCCCCCACCCCACTCCTGGCACACAATGTCACGGTGGGCCCGGTAGGCCCGTTTTTCTCTCTCCCCAGGCTCCAGAGCCTTTCTAGGAGTTTGGGGAGGGCAAAAACGGCCTTCCCCACCCCCCAGGACGCCCACCGGAGGCTGGAAACGGTCTGTTTGCCAACTTCTGCTCCCACCGAAAGTTGTCCAGAGGGCCTCCAGGGGGGTGGGGAAGGCCGTTTTCACCCTCCCCAAGCTCCTAGAAAGGCTCTGGAGCCTGGGGAGAGAAAAAAACGGGCCTTTCCCACCACCCCCCGAGGTCCTCCGGGGGCAGGAAACGGCCTGTTTCCCTATTTCTGGTGGGCTCAGAAGGCCCGAAAATAAGCTGGCTGGCATACCCATGCGTGCTAGAGCTGAGCTCGTGTGCCCATTGATATGGCTATGTGTGCCACCTGTGGCACACGTACCATAGGTTCGCCGTCACGGCACTAGACTAAGGCCTGTTTATTTCACTTGGGAGTCTGTATAAACACTTGGTAGTGTTAGAAGAAGAAAGACTATTCTTAAGAATATATGGCTCTCCAAAAACTCTAGTGTCTTGCATTAATGAATGTTTACATGTGCTTTATAAATTATTTTTTTAAAACAAATTACTCTAGAAAGCCTATTCTTACATTTTATTTTATGACATGTCCATGTACTTGTGAATACTATTTTCTATACTATTTTAGTGGAGAAAAGTAATACAACTAAAAGAGAAGGATACCACATGAAAAAAATCAGAGGCCAAATAAAAACCAAAAGCATGATTTGTATGTCCATTTCTTATACTAAGTTAGTACTAGAAGAAAAGTCACATGTAAAACCATAACAACCACTAGGCTAACTTCATAGAGT